GTTCATTTGTGCTGTAGTATATTGTGATGTATTGCCCTGTATTGGAGCTTGGATTACGAGCAGTGGTGGCTAATGTTGAGTGTCTGTACCTCTCTCCCAGTCTCTCAATCTCTCAGTCACTGTGAACTCCTCCCTCGCCTTATGGCATGGAGATTGTTTCCTCCCTCCCTCTCCTGAATTCAGATTCAAATTCAAAGAGCTTTATTGGCATGATTGTTGAATTACTGTGCTGCCAAAGCCATAAAAGTTTGCCTAGAGATGCTTTTCTGACACAAACGTCTCTTTCTGTCCACCAGGGCTGGGGTCAGGGCATGTCTCTCTGTCAATAGTAATATGGTTGAGGGCAGCGTATCTGTCTATGGCAGTGCCAGTTAATCAGCTGTGACCTGAGGGCTTGTCCACAAGGATCTCCACCACCCTGGACAGCCTGAATCATGTCAGTGCTGACACAGAGGTCGGAGGGCACAACCTTTCACCCCTGACTGCTGTCTAAATTGCTTTAGGCACTACCTACCTCTGCTTCTCCCCTCCTCACATCTTCATATTCTATTGTAGATCCTCTCAGAGCTCCCCTTTCTCAGTCAGTCTTGTACACCTCTACCTGTGCCCTAGTCCCTTGTCTCGTTTCTTCATTCTCTGCATTGCTCTCTCCCTGCTTTCACTCTCCACCCTCTCTCCCAGTCCCTCTCCCTCTCCCTCTCCTCTCGCCTCTCTCTCTCTCCTCCCTGTCCTCTCTCCTCTCTCCTCCCTCTCTCCTTCTCTCCTCCCTCTCTCCTCTCTCCTCTCTTTCTCTCCCTCTCACTTCTCTCTCTCTAGGCCTAGTGTCAGTGACAGTGAGATTAAGTGGCTCTCTCTCTCCTCTCTCCCTCCTCTCTCTCTCCCTCTCTCCTCCCTCTCTCTCCTCGCTCCTCCCTCTCTCTCTCCTCTCTCTGGGCCTAGTGTCAGTGACAGTGAGATTAAGTGTCTCTCTCTCTCCTCTCTCCTCTGTCTCTCCCTCCTCTCTCTCTCTCCTCTCTCCTCTCTCCTCCGTCTCTCTCTCCTCTCTCCTCCCTCTTTCTCTCCTCTCTCCTCCCTCTCTCCCTCCTCTCTCTCCCTCTCTCCTCCCTCTCTCCCTCTCTCCTCCCTCTCTCTCTGGGCCTAGTGTCAGTGACAGTGAGATTAAGTGGCTCTCTCTCTCCTCTCTCCCTCCTCTCTCTCTCCTGGCTTGTAAACGATGTCTCGAATGGCTGGCTCCTGTCCCTCTGACTCAAGGACAATTTTCTTCCAATTTGCAGGAGCGCCGCGGAGTTTAGGGCTAAACGGCCTCCGCGGCTCGGGAATAAAGCTCCCATCGAAACTCCGACCTCCCCGCAGCTTGGCCATCCATACTCATTTACGCTGAGAGGGAGAGAGGGAGGGAGCGCGGTGGGGGGGGGGAGGTGAGCCCCCTGCACCGGGGCACTGGGAGGGTGAGACAGACAGACAGGCGGGGGGGCTGTGCCAGCCCAGGGGAGAGAGGAACGAGAGCTCCAGCAGAGAGGGGAGACAAGGCAGGGTCCGGGGTTATCACAACGAGAGGTCCGCAGTACGTCATGGCCAGGGACAGCTGCAGATTACAATATTAATTGAGCTCAGAAATATTTTAACAGGCACTAAAAATCCCATCTCGAGGATAATGTCTGCAGATTCTTCACTGACACAGGTACCCTTCGCACACAGACAGACTGACACACACACAGTCTCACACACACACACAGACTGACACACACCCAGACAGACTGTCACACACACAGACAAACTGTCACACACACAGAATGACACACACAGGCTGACTGACTGTCACACACACAGACTGACACACAGACAGACTGACACACACACACAGTCACACACACACAGACAGGCACACACAGGCTGACTGACACACAGGCTGACTGACCACATGTGCACAGACAGACAGGCTGTCACACACACAAATTGTCACACACACAAACTGACACACATAGACAGACTGACACACACAGGCAGAATGACACATACCCAGACAGACTGACTCACACACACAGTCACACACACAGACAGACTGACACATGCACACAGGCTGACAGATACAAATACAAGCTAACAGACACACACAGACAGACTGACACACACACAGGCTCATAGACACACATAAATAAACACATGCACACACAGACCCACACACAGGTTGACACGCACACACAGACACACAGAGATAGATACAGGGGGACACAGACACACAGGAAGAAGGAGTATTCTTGCTGACAGCACTGAGGAAATTAAGAATTATGAAGAAATAAAGAATGATGAAAGATAACTGCTGACCTGTCTTCACCTCTGACCTGACCTCTGACCTGCACTCTGACACACATCCAATACACAGTCCTGGTGCAAAATATAAAATTGGAGCAATTTCACACTTTTCTCCCAGCTCATACATCATATACTGTAAGTATAAGTACCAGCCTTCCCATGTGAGTTTTCCTTCCCTGACGCATTTATCTTGTTGCAGACATCTGAGATTTAGTGCACACTGCTGTGTTTGAGCAAGCTGCCTTTTGTGCTTGGTGTTGTGTCCTGTAAATGCCATCTCTCCATCGAGGGCTGTGATCGGGACATAGTCTGTTGGGTTTTTTTTCGTTCCCTCACCCCTGCTTTTCTCCTCCTCTCTCTCCATCTCTCTTTCTCTCCCCTTCTCCTTCTTCATTTCTCTGTCCATCTCTCTCTCTTTCCATCTCTCCCTCTGTCCACCCTCCGCCCCACCCCACCTCCTCCGTCACACAGGGGGGGAAGGGAAAATAAAGGCATCAATATTTAATCCCCTCACTCCGGGTTAGGAGTCCCACCTCAGCCATTAAAGTTTAAACATGCAGATGTGTGATTAAACCTGATAGAGGCGGGGGGGCGAGGGAGAGGAGAGACAATAGAAAGAAGAAGAGAGGGAGGCATTCAGAGGAAAGAGAGAATGGCAGAGAGAAAAACAGAGGGGGAGGGTGGACTAGTCATAGTTATGAATTGCTTTAATAGTTATCTGTGTCCGAATAGTTATTTGGAGAATAGTGTGCTCATTAATATTGGGGCGTGTTCACTGTGACCTTAAGTTTGGATGATTAGGGTCATATGTATCGTTATTATTTCTCTGGCCTTTGCCTTTTTTGTTAATATTTCTTTAGGCTTTTGGACAGAAACGTTTGATTGAATTTAAATGCGTGTGAGTGTGTGCATGCAACTGCATGCCTGTGTGTGTGTCTGTGTGTGCTTGCGTTGTGCCTCCGTGTGTGTGTCCATGCCTGTGTGTGCATGTCTGTGTGTGTCCCTGCATGTGTGTACATGTGTGTGTGTCCATGCCGTTGAGTGCGTGTGTGTGTGTGTCCCTGCATCTGGGTACATGTGTATGTGTGTGTTCGTGCATGTGGGTATGTGTGTGTGTGTGTGTTCATGCACGTGGGTACATGTTTGTGTATCCATGCTTGTGTGTACATGTGTGTCCATGCCAGTGTGTACACGTGTGTGTGTTTGCCCATCCATGCAAATCTGCATGCATGCAGTACATGTGTGTGCGTGTGGGTGAGGTGATGGGTTGGCGCCCTAGTTCACCTGCCCCCTGCTAAGCCCTGTCCTCTGAAGTACTTCCTACCTGGCGTGAAGGGGCCCCAGAGCCAGGCCCAGAGAGGCCTGCCCTTCCGAAAGGGGGACCGGCTCCTTCCCAAGTGCTCCTGCAGTGCCCCAGGCAGGAAGAAGCAGGAGCTTATTAGAGCTACTGTATTTAAAGATTCATGGGAAGGTGGTCCAGTAGGGTTTATTAACGCCAAGAGCCCCCGGGGGGCACGTCAAGGTGACCGCGGCACGGGGGGAGGTCAGGGGTCAGGGCAGAAACAGGACCCAGCTGGCAGGCCAGGTTGTTAAGGGCAGAAGAAACTAAAACTGGGCCTTTGATCCTTTGGTGCCTTTGTCGAGGCGGAAAGCCATCTCTCAACACTTCCCAAAGCCATATCGCAGTCACTACAGCCAGTGACCGGGCTGTATCCCGCAGTATCCTCTGGTAAAAGCGTCATGTCTCCACGGCCCCTCCAGGACCAGAGCCGGGCTAGAAGAACCCCTCACAGTGCTCTTGCCCCTGAGGAAGGAGAGATGACTGAGAGAGAGGAGGAGAGACGAAGGAAGAGAAGAGCCGGGCGAGAGCATCTTGATTCAAGGTCTCAGAATACTACTGCAGGCAGCTCACGGCAGGGGAGAGACACTGCTGCCCCAGGGGGCCAAGGGGGAGCTGGAGGGAGGATGGGAGGTGAAGGGCCACAGCTTCCCAGCTCCAGGGTCCCGAGTTCGATTCCAGCCTCTATGGCACCCGTCTGTGTGGAGTTTGCATGTTGTCCCCAAATCCCAAATTCACATGGGTTTTCCAACTAGACATTGGCCACTCATCATTGGTCTAGAACTGTCTCTCTCCAGAGACGTGGGGGGAGTCAAGGGCATTTCATACTGGCTGATTCCCCGTACAACACATTATTTTGTAAGTATGTACTTGGTATGGTGGAATTATACATCCATTTTCTGGATTATCCTCTTTATCCAGTTCAGGGTTGAGGGAGAGCCGGAGCCTAGCCCAGCAAACAATGGGAGTAAGGCAGGATACCACCTGGACAGGACACCTGTCCATCACAGGGCACACAGACAGAGACACACACTCACACCAGCGCCAGTTTTCCCAGAAGTCCATTAACCCACAGCGTGTCCTTGGGCTGTGGGAGGGAACCCAGGTGAACATGGGGAGAACATACAAACTCCACACAGACAGCAGCCCAGGGCCCCAGCGCTGTGTGGCAGCACTGCCAACACAGTGACACTGTGCCATGTTGGAAACGGACGCAGAGGCGAGAAAGCGCGGCCGCGAGGCGGGAGGAAAAAACGAAAAAAACGTTGTTTTTTTTAAATCAAAACCAAGAACGAAACTCTTCCCCCGAGCGCGCGCGCTTGCCAGTCTCTCCCGGAAGAGAGGCGCGCACGTGCGGAGAGTCGTTTTCGTTAATGTGCTCCGCCGTCGGTTTAATTAACAGGAGAGAGAGAGAGAGAGAGCGGGCGAGAAAGAGGCAAAATAAAGAAAAAAAGAACATCGCGTTTCCTCAGGAGGAAAGAGAAAAATGAAGGTAAAGACGACGGAGGAAGGGAAGAGTGACGAAAGGAAGGCGGGAGAGTGGTGGCGGAGGAAGACGGGCAGGGGTTATCCACAAAGTCAAGTGGTTTATTATTCCCCGTGAGGCTCCTCATTAATACTGACCCTCCCTCCCGACTGGTCCTGAGACAGGGAGGGAATTCCTGGTCACGCCCGCTGCGCGATCTTCACCGATTAGAGGGCAGTTAATTGGCACTCTGGGGGGGTCGGGGCTGGGTACTCTCAGTCATCGCGCCCCACCGGCCTGGTCCTCGGACCGACTTCACACGCTGCCAGTCCGGAGGGCACAGCGGCACCAGAACAGGCCGGACCGGAAAGAGAAACGGCGCTGCCGGCGCAGCTGTGGAGGGTGCCGGGAGCGGTCAGGACGGAAGTTTAGAAAAGCACGGAGCCCGGAGAAGGAGAGGCGTCGGAAAATAAAATCAAGAGCGTGTCTTTTCGGGGTTGTTATGTTTTTTTTTTAAGTGAGTGACTCGAGGGGTGTCGCTCGGTGAGGTGGCGTGTCCCGGGAGACCCAGCCTCGCCGGCGCGCGTGCGGGTGAGCGCGGCTCTCACAGGTGTCGAGTTCGGAGAGCGGGTGCGCGTGGGAGGTCTGAGCTAAAACAACACGAGATCGGACTGGGAGCCGGCTCGTCTTCTTAGACCCTAACCCCCCCCAAAACACACACACACACACTCACACACTCCTCCTGACAGCCTGTCCTCAGACAGACCCCCCCACTCCCCCCTCCTGCCCAACCCAGCAAGAATCTTCGCAGCCCGAAGAAGCCAGTCGCTCTCTCAGTCTCCGGCGCCACAGACACTTCGTGGAAAGGGCTGTGCGCGACTTTTTCCCTCTCGTGTCGCTTCTTTCCCCTTAGTGGGCGGGTTGGGGATCTTCCACTCCACGTACACGCTCCCACGCATTGCGTTGTGGACTGTAGGCTCTACCCGCGCTGAAACCTACAGTCCAGCCCGGATTCGCTTCGGCTTCGGCTTCGGTTCGGATACCGTCGCGGAGCAGTGGGCGAGTTTTTATGCTTATTCGTGTATTTTGAGTGTGGTGGTAGATAAGAAGCCGACTGGGGAGAGGAGAGGAGAACTAGCATCGACAAGTTCAAACACTTCGAAAGGGCGCCTCGCACGCTCCGCCCGGGGTCCGAGAGAGCCCCACGCTGCGTGCGCGGGGAGTTTGCGGGGCACAGAGCCGGACCGCTCCCCGCATCGCCCAGGCGCGTCTCCGCGCTGGCCCTCGGCAGAGCCGCAGCACAACAGGTAAGAGCGCCCGGGTCTCTTTCGCTCTTTCACGAACTGTTTTCCACAGCTATCTGCGACAGCGGCGTGTGTCTCCCCCCGTCCCGATACCGGCGCCCCCGGCACCCCGATCGGCACCGGACGTAGAGAAAGCGGGGCACAGTCATGCTCTGATTCTGAGGGCTCCACAGGAAAAGTGTGGATTAAGACACGAAATACAGAGATAGATTCTGAGATTTTAAATGTTTGCATCCAATGTGTTTGTTTAGGAAGGATAGGAAGTACAGAACAAAAAAGACGTCCGATAGCAAACTAAATATAAATGTTGGTAAGAAGGGCAATAGATGATCAGATTTAAAGAGTTAAATATATATTGGTTTAAATTTAAACAAGGTGAGTTCATATGTCCATATCCATGCAAATAAGGACACACTGATTGTCAGTCCGATTATATATGAAAATAACATCAGCGCAGACAACCTGAACGATGTTGATGCTGAATAAGACGCTGCAGAATATTTTCTGTTGAGTGATTTGCGTCGATCTAAATAAACATGGTATTTATTTAGAGAATAACCTGTTAGATCCGCGGCGGTGCAGAAAATTCAGTGGCAATGTGAAGTCAAATCCTGTCTGTGCAACAACGACAAGATAATATTTTTGGAAACATTCATGGTAAGAAATACTGCAAATCCAGGTTATGTGACCAAAATATACGTTGAAAGTATTATTAACACAATATACTAAATGTTATTGTCTTATTAAAACATTATTTTATTGATTATTATTTCTAATATTTATTAGTAATAAGAGCCTGCCTCTCAGGATTCGGACCTTTGTGGCCTGATTTACCTTCAGAACGCAGCTCTCTGATTTTAGTGTTTTAATGGAGCACCCTTATGCTGGATCAACAGTCTTGCGATACCCCAGTGCAGGTGAGGATGGTCCAGCACATCTGTGGGAGCCTTGTGCAGTCTGGAAACACAAATCGTTGTCATCAAGAATTATTAATGTTGTGATAATAATTCGTGTCTATTCGCCCTGCATTTAGAATGGGCGTTGTGTGTCTCCAGAGCCTCCTGTCAAACGTTGTAAGGCTGCCCGCATAAATACAGGTTCGCACAATATACACCCTCACACAATACAATGACTCTCACAAACCATTAAAATACACACTATATAAACGCACAATATATTGGCACAATATAAACACTCTCACAAAATGCATCAGAAAACACGCACAAAATACACATATAAAATGCATCAAAATACTCACAAAATACACTCGCACAATATAAACACTCTCACAAAATACATCAAAATAAACCCTCGCACAAAGTACACTCACACAAAATACATCAAAATACACCCTTGCACAAAATACACACTCGCACAAAATCAGATCTCCTCTTCTTCATGCTTTGACTGAACACCCGCCAGCGTAATGGAAGCAATCACAGCCGCAGGAGGCGGAGGACTTGAGAGAGCCAATTAAGGATCGTTAATGCCTTTTAACGAATATAACAATTAGCCAGTGCCTGGGAAGGGTCCTTCGGTTCTCCGAGCAGGTGGCTTCTCGGCCGGGCGGAGGGGAGAGGCGCTGGGTTTCTGAAAGAGGCTTGTGGACTGAAATCTCACAGCCATCCTGCGTGTGAAGGATCGGGGAAGCACTGGAGCCCCTGCTCTACAGACAGAGCTGGGCGAGAAGACCTGCGGTCAATAAAATCTTGAAACCGGGGTGTGTGTGTGTGTGTGTGTGTGTGTGTGTGTGTGGAAGAGGGTGGTTTCTCAGACGTGCATTTCCACCTCCCCTTTTATTCTTCTTCTTATTCCCCACAGAAACCCCGACCGCCCCCCCTCCACTCCAATTCCTCCTCCACGCCGTCTTAGGAAGGACACATCATCGGAAGTTCGGGAACAATCCGGACGGCGCTTGCGGCAGCCAGGCTTGGACTCTCCGAGCCTCCGATCCCCTATCGCCTGCGCAGGAGGACGCCGCCTGATTTTCAGGACTTCAGACCCGGTCGGCTGGTTAGGTTTGGAGTTCCTATTCGTAGGGAAGACTAGACCCCCATTCTTCCGGGCCGGCCAGTGGATTCGTAGAGCAACAGCATGGAAACGGGGGAGCAGTCCGGGTGAGCTGTCCTGTGTCTACAGCCTGCACTCGGAGCTGGTGTCAGGGCCAGTGGCCCAGCCTGGATTCCCCTGCAGCTGGTTTAGGCTGCTCCTCCCCAAGAAACCCCAGCCGTTAGAGGGAATAAGCTGCTGTATCCTGAGCCAGAGGAAGGCACAGGGGGCAGAACGCCGCGACGCGGGAAGGGGGGAGAGTTCCTCTGTGGTGAAGATCAGACGAGAGGAGCCGGTTTAAAACTGTCCCAGAACAACACCGATGTCCTACTGCCTTTCTCTTCAGTCCGGGAGGGAAAAAGATTAAAAGCCACTGCTCCATCCCGACGCTCCGGACCTCGGCCTGGCCCGACGGGTCCTACCACACCCAAGCCGGCTCTGCGGCTGCCCTTTGACCTCAGGCCTCTGACCTTTGACCTTTGGCCGCCTTGCCCGCTCTGCCTCTCCCTCCCTCCTTCCTCCGGCTTTGAGGAGCTGAGCTGCCGGCTCCCCCCCACCAGGCCGTGAGCCGGCGGGACCGCCCGGCCTGCCCCCCCGCACCTCCCGCGCCCCGCCCCCCCCAGGCAGACACCATTGCGGCGAAGGGCGAGGACGACTTCCTCACGCTGGCTGCGTCTCGGCTCAGCCGGCGGAAGCGGGTCATTGGCGCGGCGGTGGGCGTGGCCATGGTGCTGGTGCTGCTGGTGGCCATCCCGCTGCTGGTCCACAGCACCAAGGCAGGAGGGGCGGGGGGCGGCGGCACGCACTACGAGATGCTGGGCAGCTGCCGCATGGTGTGCGACCCCTACACCCCCCCGCAGGGCAGCCAGGAGCTGGCCGCCGTCTCGCCCCCTCCCTACCTGCCTGAGCCCGGCCGCGACCACACCGGCCGCCGGGGCAAGTCGGGGTTCAGGGGGTCCCCCGGGCTGCCGGGTCCCCCCGGTCCCCGCGGCCCCCCGGGAGAGCCGGGCAAACCCGGACCCCCGGGGCCCCCGGGCCCGGGCCCAGGCGGGTACATCCCCTCCTTCTACAGCCCCAAGATCGCCTTTTACGCCGGCCTGCGCAAACAGCACGAGGGCAGCGAGGTGCTCAAGTTTGACGACGTCGTCACCAACGTGGGCAACTACTACGAGCCCACGACCGGCAAGTTCACCTGCCCGCTGCCCGGCATCTACTTCTTCACCTACCACGTCCTGATGAGGGGCGGCGACGGCACCAGCATGTGGGCCGACCTCAAGAAGAACGGACAGGTCAGGCCCGCCGTCTTGCCCGCCCGTGCGCGTCTGTCTCCGGCGCGGCGGTCCTGCGCTGCCCGGCTGCCCCCCTCTCTACGCGCGCTGGGCCCCGTCCGTCTCCGTGTCGGGGGGGGGGGGCAGTGGCGGCGAGCCCAGGGCACGGTGTGGCACCCCGTGGGGTTGCGTGGGCACACGTGCACCCTCTGCACGCGGTGTCTATCCCGTGACAGCGTGACCCTTCGGCCTCTCACAGGTCTGAGCTTCCTGCAGCACGATCCAACGGGTGAGAGAGGACAGCAGTATTGGAGAATCAGGATCAGGGTAGCCTTAGGGGGTGGGATATGGGAGTGAGGGGGAGACCGTGCTCAGGAAGTCACTCTTCTGCGATCTCCCAACACAACAGTGAACACCCCCGCCTCCCCTAGTCTCCCAGGAATGAGCAGTCTTCTGGCTTCTCCAGCAGGTCAGCGTGGTTGATCATATGTGATCACTTCAGGAGGAGGGAAAGGGACATTCCCGTAGGATTTAAAGCACGGTTCTTTTTCCAACACCCTGTTTTAAACTGTTCCCATTCCTGTCGGTGCTTCTGAAATGCATGGGTGTCACGCCCCTTGTCAAGTACTTCCCAGAGTGCTGCGCTGCCGGGTCTTGTGCTGCAGTGAAGGGAGTGTGGGGGGAGGAGAGGACGAGTTTGGTAGAGGACAGGGGGAGGGTAGACAACGGCAGGAGAGGAACAGACAGGGGGGTGAGAGGGATGGACAGGGGGTAGGATGGACAGGAGAGAGTGAGAGGGATGGACAGGAAAGAGTGAGAGGAATGGACAGGGGGTAGGATGGACAG